CAGTTTTTACCTTCTCGATACCATCCACAACAACGAAGATACGCGGGCTGTCCCAAATTGCAAAATTTTCAAAAAGACCCTGTAGCTCAGAAACTAAGAGCGCTATGAAAATTCTGTTTACGGCATCTTCCGTTTGACAAAAAAGTGGGACAGGTTTGTGCAAACCGCACCCTTCTAACTTCACTAATAACGGAGACACCCTATGATTTCAACCAAAATGGGACACCCTGTACATATGTTGCCATATTATGAAGATATTGTGTTTTTTAACTAAAAATTTAAAAAAAATCGAAAAATTTTTTCAAAAAATTCCAAATCTGTGAATTTTTTTTTTTCGCGAAAAAACCCTCACAGACGTGTTTAGGTGTCGAAATATACTACCCCTAAAATATTTGCACTTATTTAAGACTCACCCTGTATAGTTTTATTGAAAAATAGTAACTTTTTACCTTGAAAAGTATGTCGATTTCACAAATATGGTCAAAACTTGTAAAAGTTTCAACAAGATAAATAGCCAAAAAAATCGACGTCAATGAATTTAAATAATTTGCTCATCAGTACTAATCACCAATAATAAAATTCTCTAGCATAGTATCTCCAACTATTTCAAGAATTGTTGGTTGCTCCGTATCTTCTCTTAAAAAACAGATATTTCCATGAATCAAAAAATATTGTATGAAGCAAAGAAAATTCACTTGAACTTAAAAAAAAACTAATAAACCTACATTTTTGCGCACAGTTTTACGAAGTTAAAAAAAGTATCTTTCGCTTCATTCTGAATAAAAATCATGCCATCAGTATTTTAATATATGATATTTACATTTACCAATAAAATTAAGCATTTAATTAAAAAAATTAAATTTCTCAGAACTTAGGATCTCTATCAAAAAATTAAATTTCTCAGAACTTAGGATCTCTATCAAAGATTTTCCTTGATAAAAAAATTTTCGGATTTCTTTCGAAAATCGACATCTATGAAACTATAAACCCTTCCCCGACACAAACGGTACATTGTGAGACATGAAATTGTAGAGAGAAACAAGCCTTATGACATAGGATACAACATACAATATTTTAATGGACAGTGCTTTCCACAAAATCAATAAAATGAAAAATATACGAAATAATATACATGTACTGATTTCTTTCGAAAATCGACAACTATGAAACTATGAACCCTTCCCGGACACAAACGGTACATTGTGAAACAGGAAATTGTAGAGAGAAACAAGCCCTATAACATAGGATACAACATTTTAATGAACAGTGCTTTCCATAAGAACAATAAAATGAAAAATATACGAAATAATATACATGTACTGATTTCTTTCGAAAATCGACAACTATGAAACTATGAGCCCTGAGACTGTATGATGAGTTATAACTGGTTATAACTCAAAAAAGAGGGTCACAATAGATCTACGAGGTCGCGGTGACATCTACAAAATTATGTTTGCCTAGATTTTATTGTCGAGGAGTGTATCTAATATTATTTACAGTAAATAAAACTTGAGTGAACGTACTTGTTCTTTGTATTTATCCAGGTGTAAGAGCACCAAACTTCACCATAACTTCCACGAACACGTTATTTTGCGCGGAAAAACTCAGGGAAATCTAATTTTTCCAAGACAATGCCGGAAGAGCATCGGGCTTGTGCTAAATTTATCCGACAGGAAAATCGGCTAACTGTGCTAGACTAAAAATCTATCGCTCCGACAAAATAAATATTGCCAAGAAATGCCGCTAGACAGGGGCGTATCAACGTCACGGGCTAGACCAATTCACAATCACTAAGACTCCATTTCACTAGTCCAAAAAAGTAGCAAAGAAAGCGTTCGGCATTTAACGTTTTATGTAAAACTGGCTAGGTATTTTTACACTAATGAAGAAGGAAATTGAAGATAAATAAGGATTATACCACAGATTATAGGTATACTATGTATACAGATAAAAATCTTATCCCTAATTCGTGGTACGAAAATTGTTTTTTATGACGATGTGCAAACGAATAAAATTTCCTGTGCGCAAAAATAAACTCGCGTAAAATAACAATAAACAGCGTAATTAGAGAGATATCGCTAAACCGAATAGCGTGCATGGACGTTGATAAGGTCAGGTGTTATTTCTTTTACGGGAGGTGGTATTAACTCTCTTCATTTATAGTTATCGGATCGGAAAGAATTCTGTTCGCGTCGCGTCCGCTATTTAAACTTAACCTAACTTTGAATTTAAAACTTTGAAATTGTTTTGTTTACTAGGTATTTTAGAACTAAAGGGCTAAAGTGCTTATTTCCAGTGCTTCATTGTTCAACGTCTGCCAGTGGGTTTAGTCGTCATCTGCTGTAAACCTAAGCCTCTTTATAGGTTCTTTAATATTGGAAGAGATGGAATCCATATTTTGGGCCATATTTATTTAATTAAAACTAATCCCAGCTACTTAAATATCAAATTACCTAATAAAACTAAAATAATAATCCAAAACAATTCGAACATAACCTAAAATAAAAAATCTCGCCGCTCGCCGGCCGGCCCCGGTTGTCAAATGTACCCGCACATGCCCATTTAAGCAATTTTTAAACGTTATTTAGAAATAGCGCTTGGTGTAATTGATCAGAAATTTACGTCAGGCGGTAACGTTATTAGCGGGTGTTGCGTTAAAAATTGACTCGCGCATATCGTAACCATGATAAGGTACGCGTAAATACTGCATGACGCTATTCGGTTTTCCGATATCTCTCTAATAACCGTGCCGGTCAGGCGCTGTGCACAATTTTAGAGGCCATAAGTGGGCGTGCTATGTGCGCAAACTAGTAACCTAATTAGTGCCCGATTCCGAAAATTGGAACCACAAAAAACTATAAAGAAAAAACAAAGTTTATAATCTGTATGATCTGTGATTATACTATAACCGTATTGTAGCACATTTTCAGAAAACTGCTTTATTTTTAACATTTTGATGGTCAAAGTCGGTGCTGCCACCATCGGAGAATATCGTAAACAACTAGTACTTACAAATACACGGGTTTAAATCGCGAGAATACGGCAAATTTGTTATTTAATTATTCTAAAAGTGTTAGAAAGTATAATTTGTGAAAATTCTAGAAAGAAAAATAAGAAAGTAAATATTTTGATATCTCCAGAAGGTCTAACTTGTATTATAATTTATTATTCCAATTAAAAACCCTTTTTAGATGAGTTCAACTACGGTAGCGAGCATAGTTTTAATCACCGGTTTTGCTAGAGTTTTTGCTTAGTTTCATAAAACATTTAATCACTATTCTCTTTTGATCAAATCGGTGGGAGAAACTGTGAAGCTATAAAATATTGTTTCGGGAGAGTTGAATATCCGGGAAAGTTGAGTTATTGAATGTTATTGCACCCAACAACGCCCTAATTACGCTCTCCTTTAGGCGTTAACATTTTTTCGGCAATTTTATTAATATTTGATATTGTCACAACACAACACCACGCGCGACGCCTAGTTCGTATTTTTTATTTGTTTTTTACTACCCGAAACAGTGTGAGTGTTTTATAGTATCTCTATCAACCCCTGAGTGTTTTATAGTATCCACAACTGTACTAGCAAAAAAACAGAATACTTAAATATTATGACAAAACCACGATTTCAATATTATTTTAATGCGATCAACATGACGGCGCTGCGGCGTGAAATACATACTGATAATTTCAGATTTTTGCCGCTGAAGCGCTGCGGTCGGAATTTGTTGAAATCAATAATTGAAATGCGCCAAGCCTTATGCTATACGCCACTGTTTCTAGTGTTATACAGACGTAGGGGGGAGATTCTCGTATTTTTAGACATTGGCGTTGTCGAATTGTTCCAAAACGGTGTAATGGTGGCTACAGACGCTTGTTATAATGTCCAGGCCTTGCATACACTAATAACATTCCTATTGTTAAGGTCTCTACAGGCGTAATCGTACAGGCAATTGAACTATCTGTATAGATCAATTTTTAAAGGTCTTATAGTCAAAGTCAAAGACAATTTGGAACCTTAAAAATAGATTTTGACTATTCATTGTTAAAGTATTTTTTAATAAAAATATTTTTCTAAGATTTACATACGTAATTATAACAATTTTAATAAATAAATAAATAAGTTCAGTACAAAATACATATAGTTTTAGTTTTCAAAAATTTAAAGTAAATTTAATTTAAACAAAAAAATTAAAAAAAAGTAACGACACGCGGGGTTCCCAAGCGGTCACCCATCCAAGTACTAACCGCGCCCGACGTTGCTTAACTTCAGTGATCGAACGGGAACTGGTGCACCAACGTGGTATGGTCGTTACATGTTAAAAATCAGTGCTCTCCAGCTTTATATACCCTTTATCGTAAGTTTTTAACCATCAAATTTAGTAATTATGAGTATTTAGAAGCATTAATAAATGTTCTCAGATTCCTATAAACCTATTATTACCAGCATTTTTCATAGAGAAGAATAAAATTACCAGATAATAAAATTTTGCACAATGTTTTACTGGTTGCATAAACTCAAAACATATACTGTAAACTGTAAACAGAACCGGGCTACAAGGAATTAATTTTAAAAAACTTTTTTTTTGGAAATTTTATCTGAAATAAACAGTGGCAGATCTAGAAATTAAGTCTGACGACGTGAGCTAATTTAAGCTCAATCCTTAGCTCAATTATAGATTTATATATTTTACATGTAGACAAAATAAGTAAATAAAATAGTATTAAATATACCCAGAAAAACTTCTTAATCTAGAGTTTGTTAAAGGGAAGAGTTTCAACTCTTTTGTCCATACATTTGTTATAAACTAATGTAACGTATTACATGCCATTATAAATATTTACATCATAGATCACTATTACAATAATTCTTATCTCTTTTAAGTTATTAATATATTTCAAAGATTTCAATACTATATATTTTTAAGTAAAAAATTACACATTACATAATAAATAAAGAATTTAGTTTGGTAGTGTAATAAAAAAAGTAATAAACTACTTACCACATCTATTTCTGTGGGATTCATTCTTCTTTTTGGCTCAGTACGTTACTGCATTTTCTTTTTTTGACGAATGCGCAAGACCTCACTAAACAAATAACTATATTTTATTAAATATAGTTCTTAATCTTGTTATCCCCGTCGTATTCCATATTGTTTTGTCTCAAATAATTGTTTTTAAAATATATTTTACCTATGCGTCACCAAAAGACCCTTTCTGGAAGAGAAAATAATAGAATATTCGCATTGCGCATGACGCTCCCCACCAGCCTTTCCATGTTGACAGATCGCGGCCAGATCCAGATGATTTTCAGTTTGTGATTCACTTCCGATTAGTCAGCGTGTGTGCGCCATTATTATTTTCTTCAGTGTGTTAGTGTGTTCCTCGTGTTTCTTTTTGACTTTTTTCTTTCTATTTTCGCAGCTTTTTTTATTATTTAAGGATACACCCGGATTCCTAACGCTTTAAGGTAAGCTCTAAACTAGAAATTTTCAATCGTACCGTCGTTTTCGAGCAAAATCGCGTGTAAATATGGGACACTTTCAAGTCATGTTGCGACATTCATGTCTCTACGTGTCTGTTTTTACCTTGGTCCATTGTTCGAAAACGTCGTTAATTCTTTGTATAGACGTTATTATAAAGTTATATTTGCGTATATTATGGAAAAGGGCCTTGTTGTATTGGAACATACGTTACGCTGGGCACGTAACCATATTCTCTTTGTTATGAGTTCATTTACCAGGCTTTGTAAAAAGTAATCTAGAACATCAGAGAAATCGCTGTTTTCGGACTAGAAGTTTGTTACGTATGTTTTAATTATCTCAAGGGTGGTTGGATAGATGTTTATATGAAGAGAATTAAACAAAAGAGCCTCTTGTTTACCTTAATAATTGGCACGTGTAATTACTTCTTTTGTACTGTTTTTCAATTGAAAATTAACCGCCCCAGTGCTTTGAACGATCATTTCTTGGAAAGTCTCGTTACTTATTAATATCTTTTTTTGTTTTCGAGCAAGAGAAAACGTAAGAGACGCTTTCAAAAACGATTACGCCAACATATTTCCCTCAGCTGTCGCGTGTGTGTGAATGGCGTGAAAGTACGGTTATTAGGGAGACATTTTCGTTACAATTTGTGTCTTTTTTTCAGGATAATTTCGCTTTTTCTCGAGTTCGAATTGTTTACGACGCGAGCCTGCCATTTTCGAATCGTTTTTTTGGATACCGATGTAAAAAAGGACATTGGAAAATATGAGGGAAGAAGTATGCGCAGCGGTCAAGTTTTTCGCTTGTTTTTTGGAAAAAAGTGAAAAGGTACCACGGGAGCAGCTCTGTAACTTTGAGAAACACCTCACGGATCTTCTCATAGAAAGGTAATTTAGTCTTTTAAGCCTAGAATTGAGAAACACCCCTAAAAAAACGAAAAAATCCAAAATTTTTCACCATCCTTCAGATAGGGAATTGAAAAACCTTCAAACAACAGTATTTAGCTAAAAAATATACAGGAGCAATACGTTTTCTAATAATTTCTTGATATTTTAACGGTTATTTTGTACAGTTGTTGTTTCTTGGTCTACTAAATCCAGTAGGAATTAAATAAAAACTGGTTACTATTAAAAAATCACGTTTTTGATAAACGTAAATAAATTAAAATGTACATAATTTAATATTTACCAGAAAGACGTGTTTTATTTCAACATTTTTCACATTGCCAAATATAAATTACTCAAGGTAAACTAATAATAAAAATATAATCAAGTATTCATATCATAACACGTATATTTGGTTTGTATTTTAATATATTTTTGTACTTATTTTCAACACATGTATGCTAAAGGTTTTATTGGTAAAATTTATAAAAAAACATTTTTTGATCGACAAGAAATATTAATTTTTAGATTTTTTTGTATATAAAATATATCTATAATTGTTCAGAAACACAAAAAAAAATATATTTTTTGGTTCTGGAGAGTGGTTTAAAAAATATGGCAATATAAGTAATTATACAACTTTAAGATATCCTTATTTTGACTGGAATTTTACTAGTTTTGTTAAAAAGGTTGTTTTCCATCTAGTTTAGGATGGTTTTTTGATAAAAATTACAGAGTGGCTTTTGTAAAATTGTAATTTTAGAAAATTAATGAATTTAAAGGCGTCAGAGATTCATAGTTTTTTGGAAATTTTGTATTTTTTTAATAGTGATTGACGTTAAAAAAAAATAGTAAAAGATAAAATCTATTTTCCCCAAAATAATGTGTTTTAGTATTTTTAAGACCAAGTTGTCTGATTATTTTTACTAGGGTTTTTTGATTTTTATTTCACAATAACTTAAAAATATCTATTACAAATTTTTTGGGAATAAATTTTATGAAGCAGGATCTGTCATAATATCAAGTTGAATAAATCATATGTAGAAAAAAAAATACATTTTGATGAGGACTTATAGATGATGACATTGTATACCTAACTGGAAAAACCGAGATAAAAAATGGGAATTTTACTTACATCCATATTATTTGCAATAACATTTTTCATATTGTTATAAATAATGAAGAATTTCGATAATTTTTGTTAAACATTTCTAAGGAATTTTGAATCTAAATAGTGGCCTTGGCACTTCACGTGAACATTCTGAACGAAGGGTTTAAAAATAAACCATTTATTTTTACTTACCACAGCAAAGTAGACCTTAATTTAAATATGTTTTTTTTTAGAAAAAGTCATATTTATGATGTTTTTTTAATTATATGTACATATTTTAAATATCTTCATGCTTTAATTATTATGTTTATTATATATTTTAAATAATGCGTTTTTTACTTTGTTTATGAAAATAAGTATAGAGTATATTTTTAGAAAGCTCATAACAAGGCAAATAAGATACAAAAAATAACATACAGTATCCCATTTAAAAAAAAACAACATAAGTTTGGGTCTTATTTCGAGAATGACAGCTCACAGCAAAAAACTAGTTACGCCACTGAATTCTACGTGCAGAACTCTGTGGGAATCAGTTTTCACCTTTTTTCGATAAGTTATAAGTTAACCGAAAAATGCCAAAATTTCAAATTCGCCCTGTATTTCAGGAACTAAGAGGGCTAGGACAAATAATTTGTGTATAGCATTTTTAGTTTTATAAAAAAGTAGCATAGTAATGTGAAAACCGCATCTTTGTATCTCTACTCATAAACCAGAAACACTGTACCTAAAACAAACGAAAATTAGACACCCTGTAGGTATACTTTAAAGAAATTTAATATTAAACTTGAAAATCTCTGAACTTTTTTGTATTTTTCCATGTAGAGATACTTAGTTTGAAGTTCAAAAGACTCGTTTTTTTGTAATAGGTCAACATTGTTATGTAAAATAATATATTAAATCCAATAAAAGTAACAATAAATAGTTTTAATAGAAACGAATAATTATCTCTCAGAGAAATATCTAAACATAGAGGATTCTTAATTAGATTGAAAGATTTGATTTGTTAGGATTTATAATTAAATATAGGGAGGTATACATATATCGATATTTTTTGAAGATCGATATGTACTATCGATAATTTTGAGTTATCGATATTCTTAAACATTCCTTCTTTGAATCATGGAACATATAGAACGTGCTATGAGGTTGTTCACGGAGGTTACCGTTCTTGTAAATCATCTTATCGATTCTAAATTGAAAAGTCGGTTTTGTTCTCGAATTCTAATGGGAACGAACAATTTTTTTAAAAGAAAAATGATTAAAAAATCCTCATAAATGCCTGATGTATGTATGGAGGCTCCCTAATAATTTTTATAAATAATTTAACGACAAACACATTTTTCCTGGCCATTTTTTTGGTGATTTGGTGACAAATTGGACTCAATCTGTGACCTTGCGAGCGAAATAAGACTACTTTTCAGCTGTCTGTTTAAACAAGAAATGAGGAAAGACATAAATGGGAGCACACATACGCAATCGACTGCTTTTATGCAACTTTTATTTATAAACGATAACGATTTTCGGTTTAATAGCGGTTTGAATAGTGACCGTTACCGAATGGACTCGATTCCTTTCGAAAAAAATTACTTTTAAATCGTTTTCGTGGCTTTACGTAATGCTGCACGATTAACCTGTTGAATGTAAGCGGTCTTTCCGTACAAGAAACGGTTTGTGTGAGTCAGTATGGTTCAACGAAAGCGCTGTCACAGTAGGCGAAGAATTTCTGCAATTCATAATTCAATTCCTCTGAGAAAAACACACGATTATTACGATAATGTCTATACCATCAAAGTCATAAAATGTAAAAAAATCTTACGGCCAACTGGCAGTAATTGTCATTAAAAAATAATGAAGAGCACGGGCTTAGAAAATGACGTCTAGGCAGGGTTGGGTAACGACGCGTAGAAAATTAATTTTCTAGCTAAGAGTTAAGCTTTTTTTGATACACTATCTACTATCCATTTGTTAAATAATAAATAACAATTAGAGATATCGTTATTAGTTTAATTCTTGTACTAATTGTTGTGATTGAAGTATTTGAAATAAATATAAACTCAAAAAAGGCTCACAATACACAGAACTAATTCTCTACGTCTGGTCATGTAAAAAATGTAGAAAATTAGTTGGTATAGAAAATTAATTTTCTACGTGTAGAAAATATAAAATTTTCTACCTACCCAACCCTGCGTCAAGACCTCGACAAAATATCGATTATCATGCCTTAGCCGTCTTTGACGCCTTTTTTTTTCAATCGTATGGTATATTCTGTTATAAAATTTGTTTTGAAAGTTTAATAATAAATTTTCCATGTCGTGATCTAGATTTAATCCATACCATCAACCATAAAAACAAAAGATCGTTACAATTCGGACAATACCAAATTAAAGAGAGAGAAAACAACAACAAGAACGCATATTAAAAAAGGAAAACAATAAACAATTGAATTTTTCGTGGCGAATTAGATTTTACGGTTTTTTTCCTGATGATGACACACTTCCAGTCGTTTCTAAAAAAAAAGAAACGCTGGTCAGGGATCGACTGACAGTGATGATGACGGTGAAATTGTGCAATTAATTTATTTAATGTTCGCGTTTGGTTTTTCTTTTAACGACACGTTTAATATTTATCGCGACTGAATAATAAGTAGTTTTGTAATCGATAACTTTTTTCATTTTTATTAAAAATTAAAAACTTTTTTTTATTATCGTATAAGGGGCACGTATAGCCGCCCATACTAAAATATGTTAAAAAGTTGGTAGGCAAAGTAAAGGAATTTTTCCAATTTTTTTTATCTCAAAAACTGCGACTTTGACTGATTTTGATGTTATTACAAATTTTGTTGCAAATATTATTCCTAATCTTAAATTGAAAACTGCGTTTCGCTAGCTACTGTAATTTTGGAGTTACGATTTTTTAAAATTTTTAACCTCTTCCCATACCCCCTTACCAACCCCCCACCACCACCAAAAACTAATGGTCAGATTCTCGGGTGCCACAGTATTTTTGTGCCAAATTTGGTTAAAACCGGTTTAGCGGTTTTTGAGTTATCGTCTTACAGACGGACAGACAGACAGACACCATGAAAATATTTTGTATTTAGGTCATTTATGACCCAAATAATTCATTTTTAGTGAAATTAAAAAAAACTTTTTTTTGCCGATCTTAATAGCCTACCATACCTATTGGTATGGTCGGTTAATAAACTACTTTCGTATAGTAGTATGTAGATCTATTAGAAAATAGATATATAGAAAATATAAAATTTTCTACCTACCCAACCCTGTCAATGACCATTCTAATCATTGTTGCCATTGGCATACTATACAGGGTGGTCCGAACTGTATTCCGGAAACTTCGGCAGCATATTCTGCACATAAAAATAAGTAAAAAAGTTCGTATAAATGTATATCCTAAAATGCTTAGTTTCGGAAATACAGGGTGTAGAAATTTCATCTTTATTTCGATTTTTCTAAATAATTTTTGAAGTAAAGTCAATATTTGAATGAAAATTGGTGTCTGAGAGTTTTTTGACATGAGAAATTTGATTTTGATGTCAATATGGCTACTACTAGTAGGGGGCGCCACCTACATATTTTTTAACCGGTTTGAAGAGTAATAACTTTTTGTCCGTACCTGTATTTAACTACTGAGTAAAAAAATATGCATTTACGACGTTTTTTACGTAAAAAAGGTCTCTTGGTAAAAATCGCTCCGAGTAATGGTTTTCGAGATATTTGGAATCGAAATTATCAATACCTGTCATCGTTGACATTAATTAAACGTGTTGACTAAATAGTTATCAGACTGAAATCATAAATTTGAAATATTTTTGTGCCAAAAGTTCAACAGTAACTGTTTTATCATCATTTTTTGCAGAAAAATTTATGATTAA